CTAGGACTCTCTTGGGCTGTCTTGGAGGCCGGGCCATCTTGAGCCGTCTTGGATAATTTTTTCCGGACGTTGAGGTCGTTGGCGGGCCTGGAGGTCCTTCCCGGCACCCCGGCGGGACGGGCCGAAGCCCCAGGGGGGGTTCTTTTGGAACAAAAACCAACACCAAGACCGAAATAATCTAGCATGCCGGGCACCCTTGTGGCAAGCCAACAGGGGGCGGCGGATCGAAGACGCCTACGGCGAATCACCGCCGCCCCCTGCCTTTTTGGAAGCGCCTACGTGGCAGAATGTTGAGGCCAGACCTGCCAAGCTATCGGACCATGTGTTCCCCGAATCGGTTTGGAAAGCCTTCGGGGAACACGTGGGCATCTTGAAGGTCATCTTGGCCGCCTAGATAACATTTTGACCCTTTCGGGCCTTTTCGGAGGACGTCTTGGAGGGCCCTTGGGCCGTCTTGGATACCATCTTGAGCGTCTTGGAGACCTCTTGGGCCGTCTTGGGGGCCTCTTGGGGCCGTGTCTTGGGCCTCTTGGGCGATCTTTGGGGGCACTTGGGCCGTCTCGGGCCGTCGGAAGGCCGAAAAAGCAAATGCCACAATCCTTCAAAAACCCATGTGAAATCAATGATTTTGGCATTCCGGGCCTTCCTGGAGGCCCTCTTGGAGGCCTTTTGGGCCGTCTTGGGCCATCTTAGGGCCATGTTCGGTCGTCTTGGTGGGCTCCTGGTCCGTCTGACGCCGTCGGAAGCCGTTTGGGGGGCCTCTATGGGCCAACTTGGGGCCCTCTTGGAATGCTCCAGGGCCGTGCGTCTTAAAGGCCTCTCGGGCCGCCTTGGGGGCACTCTTGGGCCGTTGTGAGGCCATCTTGGAGGCCTCTTGGGCGATCTGTCGGCGATCTTCGGGGGCTCTTGGGCCGTCTCGGGCCGTCGGAAGGCCTTGGAGATAGTTTATCGTGTTGGCCTGGCACTTTGTGGATCCGCAACCGTGGGATCAATTCAGCCGCGCGAGCCGGGGGTTCGCCCATGGAGTGGGCGAGGGCTGCGGCGGCGAGCGCGGGCGGCCTGGCGCATCTGGCCAGCCTCTGGTAAGGACAGAGTTGCACGTGCCAGGTGGACCTCGGTGAGGGCTTCTCTGTGGACCGCGAGCTGCTGCGCCTGCTGGAGGGACAGCTGCAGCGGTGTGGGCCCGCCAACCTCACGGTCCCAGCGCCTTGTGCGCCGCCTGAGTGCTCGGGCTACCAGGGCCTAGTCGTGCTGCTGGTCGCTGTGCTGGCGTTCCTCACGGGGGTCTGCACTACGGCGACCTGCGGCTGGTGTTGGCTCGCCCGCGGCGAGGCAGGTGCCCCGGACAGCCTCTGCCTGTCAGAAGGCCAAGATGGCCGCGCACCTTCATCAGGGCCAGCGGGTGCTCGTCTCCTACGACGTGGACCCTCGCGAGCTGCTCTGGCATGAGCGGCTACTGTGCGCTCGCGTGCGCGAGGGCTCGTGGGTGGTGGCCACACCGGAGCGTGACGCCTACCTGGAGGACCTCGAGAACGTGATCGAGAGTCTGGTCCCGCTTGGCCCGATGGGCGGACTGCCGCTGGGCTGGAGCCGTGGGCCGACGCACATGTTCCGTGGTTCTGCTCAGGGACCACTGCGTCGCGCTGAGAGCTTGCGCCTGCAGGCCGAGGGGGCGGAGCTGGCCGAGCAGGAGAAGCTGGACCTGGACCTGGGCGCCGCCCGGCCGCCGTCCCTTCCCGCCGCCGCCCCGCCGCCGTTGGCGCTGGAGGGCGACCTGCCGGCGGAGGAGGGCGAGTGGCGCTTCTCCGAGAGTCGGGGCGAGGCGCGCGTGGGCGAGCGTGTGTGTGCAGCATCGTATAAGGAGGCCGCGTCGCTCACCACCACCGCGGCCTTCGATGACTGGCCCATCAGCGGACCTCGGACGGCAGAGTGGCTCGCTCGCGAGATCGCCCGCCAGGAGCTGACGCCAGTGCGGAGGCACTTCTGGTGGCGGCAGCTCTTGGGCTTGGGCCCCAGCGACTGGGGTGTGGGTGAGCACGAGTCCCTGAGTCGGCTCTTCGAGTGCGCTCTGACGTGCGACCAGCTCAATTTCGGAGAGCTGGCCTCGCTGGAGCTCGCTGGGCGGCGCTACTAGCTGCTGGATGAGAGGTGCGCCAGGATGCTGGTATCGGCGACGGCAGGCGGAGACATCGGGCACCTCGACAAAGACAGGCTCTTCGTGGGCGAGGAGGGCCGACGCGGGCGCGCCTTGGTGGCGCCTGCGCTGGAGTCCTGGATCCCGCAGAAGTTGTCAGAGGAGAGCTGTCAGAGGAGAGCGCCGTGCTCAAGGGGCGGCGCAAGGCGATGGAGGCGCGGCAGCTGGCTCGCTCGACGGACGTGACCCCCGGTGCATCAAGCAGGCCGAACGACGACAAGCCCCCCAATAACCCGCGCAAGAAGGGCGTCGGGCAGGGAGGTGGAGCTGCTTGAGCTACTTCGGACGACGGAGGCCTCCGGCCGTCGTCCCAGCTGCAGAGGGGGGAGGGGGGGCTGCTCGCTTGAGGAGGATGGCGGGCCGCCTTGGCGTTGCAGGTGAGGGCCTTGACTGGGCTCGCGATCTGCTGCCACTGCCATCGGTCCGCTGCCTGGCGGATCTCCTGGAGGGGCTATCGCCGGCGGGGCTGGGTGCGTCGCGTTTCGCGGATCGGCGGCGATCGCGTCGTCGGGCTGCGGAGGCGTGGCTGCAGGACGGCGTCGCGGCGCTCAACGCTTTGGGCGGTCGCGGTGAGGTGTGGGGCCCCAAAGTGATGCCAGGCGCCATCCAGCGCCAGGCGGTGGCTAGCTTGGCCAGGGCCTACTACTCCGTGCCGCCTCGCCCGACGACCTCACCACCTCGGGGGCGTGGTCTGCGCTTCGGGGCTGCGGGTCCGTCTACGCCTGTGGAGGCGTCGTCACTGGAGAGGTCGCTACCTACCAGCGTGGCAGGCTGGCCCTGCCGGCAGTCGGCAACCAGGCGATCGACCTTGACGGTTGCCTGCCCGACCACTACCAGAAGCTGCTGGAGGATAGTGGCCGCGCTATTCGGCTACCAGCGGCGCGTGGACGGCGCGGCGATGGCGGACGAGCTGGGCATCGCGATGGATCCCATCTTGTCGAGGTCCCCGAGCAAGTTCGCCGAGTTTTTGAGCAGTGCTTATGAATCGGGGGTCGTCGAGCCGGCGACCGAGGTTCGACATTTTGTGGGAGTCTTCTTTGTTCGTAAGGAGGACGGTTCGCTGCGGATCATCTTCGATCCTCGGAAGACCAGCGCCCAGTTCGTGCCGCCCGGCGGTGTCGCCCTGGCGTCGCCCGAGGCCCTCGGCGATCTCGAGCTGCCCGCAGGTCAGAGGCTGTGGGTCAACGAGGGGGACGTCGAGAACTGCTATTACCAGTTCCTCCTGCCCGTCGACCTGCGGGCCGACTTCGCGCTGCCGGCGGTGCCGCGGCAAGCGCTGCCGCGCCGCCTGCGCGACTTGTTTCCTGCAGCGCCGAGCTGGTGCACTTGCAGGTTCGCGTGGTGCCGATGGGCTGGAGCTGGGCTGCGGCGCTCGTGCAGGCAGCGAACGCGGAGCTGCTGCGGTCGGGGCCGCTGGGCGCTCGGCGCTGGATCTGCAATCGCCGCTGCGCGCCCGCCGTCGCTGGGCGTGGGCCCGCTGCTCTCCGACGACTTCGCCTCGTTGGGGACCGAGAAGGAGGCGGTCCAGGTGGGTGGCGACTCGATGGAGAGGCAGCTGAGGGGTCGTGGTCTGGCTACTCCTGACGTCTCCGGGCCGCAGGTCGACGTGGACCTCCTGGGCTTCCACGTCGACGGTGTCGAGGGCGCGATCCACATCGCGCCCGAGCGGTTCTGGCGGCTGGTCCTGAGTCTGGACCACGTCCTGACGCGCCCACTCCCGACGGGGGCCGAGCTGGAGAGGCTGATCGGGCACCTGACGTACGTCCTCTTGCTGCGGCGCGAGATGCTCAGTTTGCTCGGCGCCTCTTACGTCTTCACCAGCAAGTGCTACGCCCGCCGCGTGCGGCTCTGGCCTTCGGTGCGGCGGGAGCTGTCCTGGACGCGGGCGCTGCTGCCGCTGGTGTGGGCCGGCCTGCGCGGCACCTGGGCGCCTGGCGTCGTGGCCGTGGGCGCGTCACTGACGGGCCTGGGCGCGGTGGAGCGCGCAGCCGCCCCGGCCGAGGCAGGCCGCGCCGGGCGCGTGAGAGAGCGCTGGCGGTCCAAGGAGAGCGAGCTGGTGGCCGACGGCTCGAGGGCGCGCGCCTTGCGAGAGGGCGCCGTGAGCGACTCTGCCTTTCCCGTCGTGCCCGCCGAGTTCTGCGAGCCTCCTCGGTGGAAGACTGTGGCTTCGAGACGTTGGCGGCGCGAGGCTCCCATCCATCTCCTGGGCGGCGAGGCGCTCCTCTGGGCGATGCGGAGGCAGGTGCGCCGGGCGGCGCATCGCGGCTGCCGGCTTCTCTTCATGTCTGATAGCATGTGTATCTGTTGTGCAGTTGCAAAAGGGCGAGCCTCGGACTTCCCCATCCTTGCGCAGTTGCGGCGCCTGACAGCACCTCAGCTCGCCCCCTCGCGTCGAGTTTAAGTTCGTTGGATTCCTTCCGAGTGGAACCCCGCCGGCGGCCCCTCCAGGCGGTTCGAGCCTCGCCGTTTGCGGGGCGATGGAACGCCGAACGCTCCTGGCGGCCGCGCCGAGGGAGCGGCCGCTGCCGGCCTCGAGTGCGCCTGCGGGCAGCCGCCGAGCTGCGGCCGCGCCTCGGGGTGCCCCGGCGGCGAGGACTCGTGCCAGACGCCAAGGCCTCGCGGCCGAGTCGTCGGCCGCGACTGCCTTGCCGTGGCACCGCCTCCTGGGCTCGAGCGTCTCGGGCTTAGAGCTGGAAGCGGTGGGGCAGCAGACCTACCTGCGCTGCCTCAGTGGCCTCTGCCGCTGGCTGGGTCTGGAGGCCTGCTCGCCTGGAGTGCGCTGGAGTGGGGCGACGCGCTGCTGCAGTACATGGGCGACGAGTTCTCGGAGGGTGCGCGTCCCAGCAGGGCGGCGAAGCTGCTGTCGGCGGTGCCGTGGGCGAGGCCAGCGCCCCCCCCGGCGGGCGGTGTTGCCGCGGAGCAGCCCGGCGCTGCTGGGCTGGAAGCGCAGGCGTCCAGGTCGCTCGCGCCCGCCGCTTCCTTGGCTCGTCCTGTGCGGGGTCCTGGAGATCCTGCCGCTGAAGGGCCACGATGGCGATTGCGTGCGCACTCAGCCTCATGTCCCACTGCTACCTGCGACCAGGCGAGCTGCTGGCCATGAAAGCGTTCCAGCTGGTGGCCCCAGCTCGGGGCCTGCAAGGCGGGTTCCGCTGGTGGGCCCTGCTGCTGCATCCAGAGGAGCTGCTGGTGCCCGGCGCGACTGGCGAGCTGGGCGACTCCTCGCCGCTGGATGTCCCCGAGCTCCTCTGGCTCACGCCCGCGCTGAGCGAGCTCGAGGCGAGGCTGGAGCCCAACGCGCCGCTGTGGAGTTTCGGCTCCGCACAGCTGCGCGCGGAGGTCGAGGGCGGGGCGGCGGCGCTGGGCCTGCGAGGCCTCGGCGCCGCGCTGTGTTGTCTCCGGCGCGGCGGCGCCGGCCACGACAGGATCGTAGGGCGCAGGTCGCTGGAGGAGGTGGCCAAGCGCGGCCGCTGGCGGGCCCGCCTGTTCGGGCTCAGCTCCGCGCGACGCTCTGCCGAGTGCGCCTGGGCAGGGGGCGAATCGCTGTCGAAGTCTTCCCGGGCTCGGGTAGGCTCGCCGCAGCGCTGCGGGCCCTAGGCGCTCCCGCGCTGGAGTGGGACATCATTCGAGGAGCGCAGTTTGACGTCGCCAAGACGGCCAGCCTAGAAACCCTGAAAGGTTGGATTCTCAGTGGTGAAGTGAGCCTCCTTTGGCTAGGCACACCCTGCACGTCCTTTTCGACGGCCCGCAGGTTCGCAAAGTCGGGGCCCAGACCGTTGCGGTCCAAGGAGTTCCCTCTAGGCCTGCCTCTTTTGTCCGTGTCTGATTGTTCCAGGGTGCATTTGGGTAACAAGTTTAATGCAAGCCCCCGTGACGCTCGCCAGGTTAGCTCATGTTCGTGGGATCCCTGGAGGGCTCTAAAATCCAGCTTTTTCTAGACTTTGGCCCTGTCCGCCTTTGTTGGGTCTCGCTAGGCTCCCCAGCTTCCCAGCGTTCAAGATGTCTTCGCAGATTTTTGCATGTGGGGCGAGCCGCGGCGAAAGCGCACTCGGCTTCGCCTCTGGCACGTCCCCTCGGATCGTCTCGGGCGAAAGTGCCGCGGCAAGGGGGTCTGCGAGCGCTCTGGGTGTAGGCGCCAGGTTCTTGAAGGCAAGGCCCTTGGCGGCCAATTCTGGACGGCCGTGGCACAGCCATGTCCGAAGCCTCTGTGCACTGCCCTTGGTGAAGCCTTGATAGACGCCTCATGTGATAGTAGATTGACGAGGTTGTGGGACATTTGTACATGCTAGCGGTATAACCAGTACACTACTGTTCTTTGCCGTGTGTGTGACCAAGAGTTGTTTGCTTGATCAATGCCGCCAGGTTCTATGTGCCGTTGCTGCCGAGGCTCCTCGTCCCTGCGGCCTCTCAAGCTTGTGATCGTTTATCGTGTTGGCCTGGCGCTTTGTGGATCCGCAACCGTGGGATCAATTCAGCCGCGCGAGCCGCCCTACCTTCCCTCCCTTTTCTGCTTTCTTGTTTTCCTTCCCACACGCAATCACGAATTTATCAGGCCAAAGGTTTTTTGCTGGATCAATGCCGCCAAGTTCAATTTACCGTTGCTGCCGAGGCTCCTCGGCCCTGCGTCCTCTCAAGGTTGCGCTGGAGAAAAATGTAAGGCCGAAAAGAAACAAATGTTAAAATCAGTTAAAAACCTTCGGGTAATCAATGTTTTGGGCCTCTTCTGGCCTTCCTGGAGGCCCTCTTTGGGGTCTCTGGGGCCGTCTTGGGCCAGCTCCGAGCCAACTTCGGCCATCTTGGTGGGTTCCTGGCACGTCTGACGCCGTCGGGAGCCGTCTTGGGGGCCTTTCTGGGCCGACTTGGGGCCCTCTTGGGGCGCTTCGGGGCCGTCTTGGAGGCCATCTTGGGCGTCTTGGAGGCCATCTTGGGCGTGTTGGAGGCCTCTTGGGCCGTCTCGGGGTCCTCTTGGGGCCGTCTTGGAGGCCACTTGGGCCGTCATGGGGCCCTTTTGGGGGCGTCTTGGGCGATCTTGGGGGCCTCTTGGGCTGTCTTGGGCCGTCGGAAAGCTGAAGAGGCGCCAACGCCAACATTTTTCAACAACCTAAGGACAATCAATGATTTTGGCCTTTTCGGGCCTTCCTGGAGGACGTCTTGGAGGGCTTTTGGGCCGTCGTGGAGGCCTCTTGCGGGCCTGTTGGGCCGTCGTAGACCATCTTGAGGCCATCTTGGGCAGTCTTGGAGGCATCTTGGGGCCATCTTAGCTGTCTTGGAGGCTATCTTGGGTCGTCTTGGAGGAGACGTCTTGGAAACCATCTTGGGCCATCTTGGCCGTCTGGGACGCTATGTTGGGCCAGCTGGAGGAAACAGAGACACGACGGACGCGTTTGGGGGATTTTCTGGGTGGCCGGCGGGACGGGCCGAAACCACAGGGGGAGTTCTTTTGGACAAATATCCAAAACCAACACCGAGAGGGTCCAGCACGCCAGGCACCCCTGCGATGAATCGACCGGGAGCGGCGGATCGAAGACGCCTACGGCGAATCACCGCCGCCCCCTGCCTTTTTGGAAGCGCCTATGTGGCCGAACGTTGAGGCCAGACCTGCCAAGCTATCGGACCACGTGTTCCCCGAATCGGTTTGGAAAGCCTTCGGGGAACACGTGGGCATCTTGAAGGTCATCTTGGCCGTCTTGGAGGCCTCTTGGGCAAGCTTTGGGCGATCTTTGGGGCTTTTTGGGCCGTCTCGGGCCAGCTTCGAGCCAACTTCGGCCATCTTGGTGGGTTCCTGGCACGTCTGAAGCCGTCGGAAGCCGTTTGGGGGGCCTCTATGGGCCGACTTGGGGCCCGCTTGGAATGCTCCAGGGCCGTCTTGGAGGCCATCTTGGGCGTCTGGGAGGCCATCTTGGGCGTGTTGGAGGCCTCTTGGGCCCTCTTGGGGCCCTCTAGGGGCCATCTTGGAGGCCACTTGGGCCATCATGGGGCTCTCTTGGGGGCCTCTTGGGCGATCTTGGGGGCTTCTTGGGCCGTCTCGAGCCGTCGGAGAGCCGAAAAGGCGCAAATGCCAGAATCCTTCAAAAACCAAGGAAAAATCAATGATTTTGGCCTCTTCGGACTCTCCTGGAGGACCTCTTGGACCGTCTTGGGCCGTCTTGGACTCTCTTGGGCCGTTTTGGAGGCCGTCTTGGACCATCTCGGGCGGACTTGGAGGCCATCTTGGGCCATCTTCGCGATTTTTTGAGGATGTCCCGAGCGAAACGGCCGTTTTTTGGAGGATTTTTTTCCGGATTGAGGTCCTTTCGGCTTCCTCCCGGGACCCCGGCGGGACGTGCCGGAGCCCACTGGGGAGTTCTTTTGGAAAAAGAACCAAAACCAAAACCTGAAACATCCAGCACGCCGTGCACCCCTGCAAGCAGGGGGCGGCGGATCGAAGACGCCTACGGCGAATCACCGCCGCCCCCTGCCTTTTTGGAAGCGCCTATGTGGCCGAACGTTGAGGCCAGACCTGCCAAGCTATCGGACCACGTGTTCCCCGAATCGGTTTGGAAAGCCTTCGGGGAACACGTGGGCATCTTGAAGGTCATCTTGGCCGTCTTGGAGGCCTCTTGGGCAAGCTTTGGGCGATCTTTGGGGCTTTTTGGGCCGTCTCGGGCCAGCTTCGAGCCAACTTCGGCCATCTTGGTGGGTTCCTGGCACGTCTGAAGCCGTCGGAAGCCGTTTGGGGGGCCTCTATGGGCCGACTTGGGGCCCGCTTGGAATGCTCCAGGGCCGTCTTGGAGGCCATCTTGGGCGTCTGGGAGGCCATCTTGGGCGTGTTGGAGGCCTCTTGGGCCCTCTTGGGGCCCTCTAGGGGCCATCTTGGAGGCCACTTGGGCCATCATGGGGCTCTCTTGGGGGCCTCTTGGGCGATCTTGGGGGCTTCTTGGGCCGTCTCGAGCCGTCGGAGAGCCGAAAAGGCGCAAATGCCAGAATCCTTCAAAAACCAAGGAAAAATCAATGATTTTGGCCTCTTCGGACTCTCCTGGAGGACCTCTTGGAGGCCTCTTGGGCCGTCTGGGAGGCCTCTGGGGGGCCTCTTGGGCCGTCTTGGGCCGTCTTGGACTCTCTTGGGCCGTTTTGGAGGCCTTCTTGGACCATCTCGGGCGGACTTGGAGGCATCTTGGAGGCCATCTTGGAACCGTCTGGGGCAGGAAATTGGGGAATTGAGCTCCTGGGCATCCTTTCCGGGTGGCCGGCGGGACGGGCCGAAGCCCACTGGGGAGTTCTTTTAGAAAAAGAACCAAAACCAAAACCTGAAACGTCCAGCACGCCGTGCACCCCTGCAAGCAGGGGGCGGCGGATCCTGGTGGCCTTCGGCCCATCCCGCCACCGTGCCTGGGTTATGGGTCTGAGGCCTCTTGTCTATGTGTTGGGGTGTCGTGGGGAGCCTCTCGGGGGCCTCCTGGGGGCGGTTTGGGCGCGTTTTAGGGGTCTCTTGGGGCCTCGTGGGGTATCTCGTGGGCCTCTTGGAGGCCTCTTGGGCGCGTCTTGGGCGCCTCTTGGGGCCTCTTAGGGCCTCTTGACGGCTTCTTGGGCCCTCCTAGGGGCAACTCGGGGCACAAATATTGAATGCTAGGTTCGTGGTCCCCTGCTTGGGCCCTCTTGGGGCCATCTTGGGGCCCTCTTTGGCCGTCTTGAGAGCTTCTTGGGCCGTCTTGGAGTCCTGTTGGGCCGTCTCGGGCCCTCTTGGAGGCGTCTTGGGCTGTCTTTGGGCGGTCTTGGGGGCTTCTTGAGCCACCCTTTTGGAGCGTCGGAAAGCCGAAAATGCGAGAAGGCCAAAATCCTTCAACAGGCTTCGTAAAATCTACGATTTTGGCCTCTTGGGGCTTTCTCGGGAGGCCTCTTGGAGCGCTCTTGGGCCTCTTTGGGTCGCCCCTTTGGGCCGTCTTGGAACCATCTTCGGGCGCCTTGGATCACTCGTGGCCCCAGCAGTGCGGATACGGCGTGGCTTGCGAGGATTTATAGTTTCGGGGACGCGAATATTGAGTAATGTATAAGGGTTTGTTGCCTCGGGGACGCAATCCATGCATCATTTACGAGGGTTTGCGGCCCCAGGGGCGCGAACATTGAGTGATTTACAAGGGATTATGGCCTCGGGGGCGCGACTCTCGTATATTCTTACGTGTCCCACGCCCCCCCTGGAATTCAGAGCACGGGATCCGGGCGTGGTAAATTGCTGGTTTGGGGCTCCTCTCCCTCGCGCGGACTTCAACAATTTACAGTCGGAAGCAGAAAGCAGGACTGCAACATTGGAGACTTGAGACTGCAACTGGTGCGGGGAGCAGCAGCTTCGCCCTACGGCCTGGTCGCCCCACAAAGGGGCCGGCGGATGTAGTGACCTCCCCCATGGTGCTTGGCTCGTGGACAAGGGGCCTTTGGATGTCTTCTGAGGGCCTCTTAGGTTATGATGTTCCAACCTACTTTAGCCTTGACCACCAGAAAGAATTTCGAGCACCAGAAAAAGTACCGAAACTCGGGGGTTTCCACGCGCCGGGCCCTGGGAGACGCTCGTCCGACACTGTTTCGACACTGCTTCGACACTTTGCCGGGTGCTCGAAACTATT